CTTTGACTTTAGCATCAGCTGTAGTCATTCTACTAGATGTACTCTTTCACCTGTTTGACTTTATCAACTCGGCAACTCGTTTGCCAACTGGGGCTATAAACTGTCAGTCTACTAAATAGCATTGAACTATTCTTTTTTTTTTTTCGTTTCTCAACTTCCCTGTTATTGAACCCTGACTCATGGCAGATTCTCCTCATTTTTCCTAATTGCCATTACTGCTGGTTCTATCACATCTCCCTCTGAACCATCAGTATCCCTGTGCATAATCCATCTTTCTGATCCTTTGACAATGACAAATCTCGACACATGCAATAAAGCTTCTTTGTGGCCAACAACCACTACCTCATATCCTCTCATGAGTTTCCACATGTTATCTACAAACTCGGATATGTAATCTTCATCATCCATCTTCCATATACATAACAAATTCATTATGAAACTAGATATATATCTAACATCATGCAGAACTAGCTTGGTCCCATTGTCGGTCCTTAGACTAACATCCTCAATCCCTTTTATCTTTGAGAGCTTAACATTTCCCATCCTTACGTGCCATGATTGCCAGGAGCGACGAATGTAAAACCACCTTTTATCTGATGAAACGTGTACTAAGACTGCACTGTCCACTGCCCACTATGATTACTAGTCTACAAACGTTTTACTCTTAGCACAAGCTAGCAACACATCATCAAATTTTGTAGAAACTTTTGTTTCTTAATCCTCTTTAAACTTCCTACATGGTTTCTTGAAGTGACCCTTCTTATATGAGTAAAAACATTCAACCGCGCTGATCTCACTCTTCTGACTATGCCTCTGCTATATATTCCCATAATTGGTCTCCTATTTCCCGTTGTTCCAAATTTGTTAGGCTAGTTCCATAAAATTCTTCGTACCTAACCTAAATACGAAATTTCCACTTTCTTTCAAGCGAATCTTCTCAACTGTAACAACCCGTATTTTCCAATACGGTCATTCTGACAAAATGCAGAAGCGTAAACAACTAAACACTAAATTAACTGAAATACTTCTTTATTTAATTCGATACTATGACAAAATATAAGGACAAGTCCAACTTTGACACAAAAAAAAAAACCTACACTATAATAAAGCCAAAGAATAACTACCAGAACTAACTAAGTTCTCATAAGCTGAAAACAATGGAAAATACTAAAGATTTCAACTCCTCATGCCAGAACGCTATTCCTCAATCACCATCTGAGCAGTTACTTGAACCTTCATCTGAAAACATTTAGAAAACAGAAAAAAAAAATGAGTACAAAAATACTCAATAAGCAATTTCCATATCGAATTTCGAAATTCATTTTCCTTTCAAAACATTCGTAAACAAAAATACGAACAAATCAAAACTTCTAAAGTCCTTTAAAATATTTAATACAATTTTCAAAACTTTCAAAATAAACTAGATTTTCGGAAACAAAGTCTTCAAATAAGATAAAGTTTCCAGTCAATCAAAACAAACTTTCATTCTTTCAAAACAAACTTCCATTCATTCAAAACAAACTTTCATTCGATCAAACTTGAAATCCTTCAGAACAAACTTTCTTTCAATCAAAACTTTCAAAGTTCATTCTAAAATACTTGGTACAACTTTCAAACTTTTGAATAACTAAATCATTCAAACATTCAAAACAATCTTACATTGATTCATACTTTCAAAATCATAGTGGAAGGTTGCATTATTTTGGTAGCCTACATAACATATGTGGTTACCCGTCGGTAACACCAATCAATCAGAAGCTTCTATCAGAATTGTCGAATTAATATCGACCAGAACATAGTTGTCGAAATAATATCGACCAGAATAGAGTTGTCAAAATAATATCGACCAGAACAAAGTTACTTAAGTGTGAGGCCATGTGAGTGAATAACACACACATGAATCTTCATTCCCAAGGAATGCCAAACCACAAAAGTGCCTTCCCACAAATAAGCCAGAACAGAAATCCATCAATTCCAAATTAGGCTACTACCCCAAATAAGCAAAACGTTCCTCAAAACAAAATAATGGCATATCCGGATAGCCATATCATATCAATCAAAATATCTTTCAAATAAAATGCAAAAAAAATACTTACTTTCAATATTAAAGTAATTCAAAACATTGAAATAATTTAAAATAAACTTTATCAATCCTCCAAAACATGATTTCAAATATTTCACAAATAAACAAAATATCAATTTCAAACCTTTAAGTAAATCTAAACAAAACTTTATCAAATCATATAAGAATACTTCAAATACTTTGCAAATAAACATAATATCAATTGTCAAATTAGTTTTCAAATCCATAATAAAACTTCAATTTCAAATCTTCATATCAAATCCAAAATACATTTTAGTTTTCGAAGGGATATGGTAAATCACTTACAACACTTTTCGAATGGATATGGTAAATCACTTACAATACTTTTCAAAGGGATACGGTAAATCACTCACAACACTTTTCGAAGGGATATGGTAAATCACTTACAACACTTTTCGAAGCGATATGACAAGTTACTTACCACACTTTTTCGAAGGGATATGACAAGTTACTTACCACACTTTTTCGAACGGATATGACAAGTTACTTACCTCTTTCAGAAATCCTACGAATCTAATTTACTTCTTCCTTGAAAGTTGTCAACTTAGAGGCCTAGAAACAACCAATATCCAAAATCAATTCTTAAATCCTATCCAAGGATTTAAAATTCAACCAATTACTAACTCAAATCTTATCTACCCAATTTTCCCATTCAAAACACTTTTTTTATGCAAAATAATTAGGGAGTATGGATTTGGGGCTACAAAACCAGATCTGAAAACTATGTTAAAAAGCCTCTAAATTCAACAATAACAAACTTTAAAATTAGAAGAATCGATATAAATTAATACGAACTAAATTTACAAAAAGTTTCTCAATAAAACAAGCTGAAAAACCTTATAAACAATAGAAAATTTGGGGATTTTAAATCTGAAAAATTTTCTATTTTATAAAATAAAACTTCCAAGAAATTTCCATAAAAAACAATTAACAATTTACTAATTTTTATAGAAAAAATCAGATCTGAAAACCGTATAGAAAATCTTTAAAACTTGGTAAAAACATATAATTTTTCATGTAAAAATCATAACAACAAACTATAAATTATAGGATACAAATAGGTAAACTTTTTATGCAAAAAGAGTCTCAAAATAGCCCAAAAACACTCTTATAAACAAAAAGATTCAAACAAAAAATTATGGAAAATTTTTAGGTAAAAAGTCCTTAAAATGTTTTATTCTAAAAAACAAAGACCTCAAAACTTTTCCCAATAAACTGAATTAAAGAACTACAAATCAAGAAAAATAAAACTAAAACAATGAGGAAGAAAATCTTACCGATCTTTGAGAAAAAATACCAAAACTTTTTGAGAGAAAATTAGGTATAGCAGTTTAAGAAAAATAAAACCTAGTGTTTAAGGGCTTTTATAACAAATCCTAATAAATCCTTATTTAAAAAGGATAATAAAAAAAAGATTTAATAAAACTTTTTCTTTTTATTTTTTTTAAATTCTAAGAACAAATTATCTTTTAAAAAAATAATTTTTATAACAAAAATTTATATTTTTTGAGGAAATAAAGAAAACAACTAAATAAAAATAATAATTTAAATATATATATTTCGGTTGTTACATCAACAATCATAGTATCACAGATCTCATGAAATTTCAAGCTCTTGTCCCCAATGAATTTTACATAGTCGTAATCATCATTTCCCAACTATTAAGCAAAGAAGTAAGCAAAGCTATAACATTTACCTCATAACTAAACATAATCTTCACAGACACCAATTGATTCATCAGATTAGTGACCTCATTTATGTGGTAGTTGACCGACCCCTTGTCATCTATGCAAATGTAAAAATATCTTTTAACGAGATGTACCTTGTTGTTCGTAGAGGGGGTTTTCATATATGTTCTTCTATGCCTCCATCAAAACCGTCACCGTTTATAGTTGCAACTACCTGTTCATCAATTTCTGCTCATTCGTCATTATCCCATCTTGTCATTCCTTCAAGGTTCTATGTATCTTCTTGTAGGTCGAGTAGCCTTCCGTCTGCATCTTTCAAAATCCAAAGTTCTTGCCGTTAAATCCAATATCCATTCGAAACGGGACTTTTCACTGAATCCCATGACGTTGAATGTTATAGCTTTAATACCACTTGTTGGGAAAAATATCTACTACTATGCGCACAACAAAATAGCGGAGATTTATTGTAATGCCCCAGGATTTTCAACAACCCAACGGGGACCATTACTAAAAGCCACCTAAAAAGTCTCATTCGTACTAGAGAATTAAACCACGAGACATACTGTTGTTTTGTTCTCACTTAAATGCTTCCTAGTAAAGCAACTAGGAGGTCACCCAACCGAAGATTGCTCAAAGCTAAATATGCTTAACTTTGAAGTTCTTATGATTGAGCCACCGAAAAAGAAGATGAACCTTGTTGATATAGGCAGTGACTATCAATTCTTTTAAGCCTTTCTTGACCATTCTTCCATGATCTCAGGATCCCTCTCATTCAGATGTGGTATCGATTCATTCATGTACCTCTCCTCTCTAGTCGGGCGTCACATGACTATAACACACCCGAATTTTGATAACTTACACGGGGAACGTTACTAAACTTATTGTTCTATACTTCCTCCCAACACATAGGCCTAAACGAACTTAGATAATTTATCTTTTTATTTGCTAATTCATCCTTTCATTTACTCAACTTAAACCTGTGAATACTGCACTTAATAAATGAACGAAACAACTTGTCCTCCATGGACAAGCTACACACAACTCTCCTATTTAAGTCCAAACAAAGCTAAATTGAGTAAATGACGATAAACCAACAATAACCTACTCAACAGAAGCATAACCCCGCAAGATGATAACGAATCAACTAAGCAAATAAATCCACCACGCTACCACTACGCCATTCTGATAATAACACCAAAACAAAACAGTTAATCAATTCTTCAACCTTTCCAAGTTAGCAAATCCAATAACGTTAAACATACTCCCTAAGCTTCTCAACTAAACCAAAAGCCCAATCTTTACAAGAGTCCAAACTTAAAAGAAAAGTCTTCTAAAACATTCTAATAACTCCTTGAACTTTACACAAATCAATGCTCAAAACAGAGGACATAAACTAAATCAATAAGAACTCTTAACAACCAATTTTAAACAAGTAAAAAACTAAACGGAAGCTAGTTATGGTCATTCTTCTCGAGTCTCCTCCGCACCATCACCATGATCGTAACCCGTAATCTCACCTAAAACAATAATTGCAGGGGGGTGAGTACATAAATACTCCGTAAGTAGCTCTCTCTAACTATACACAAACAACAAGCTCAACATGGAACATTCATGATAAAATATTAAACTGACATCCATGCATTAATAAAACGTAACACTCATTAACCCACACATGTAGTGAAAGTAACACCGACAACAAGGCCCGCTAGTAGCCCTCACTAACTGTACACAAACAGCATGCTCGTAACCGCGACTAACAACAAAATACGATAGCTAGTAACAATGTAATGATAGGTCATAACGGTTATCAATACACACACGCAAGCATACAAGGTATCAAGACTCACGTAACTTCGATCACACGGCCCGTTGATCTGTAGTTCCTCCAAGCTAACTCAATCCCATCACACTATGTTAGTCCTCCAAGTTTAACTCTTTGAATCGTATTGGCCCTTGACCTTTTGTACCCAAGGCCTCGACACTCCTCTTCAAAAGCTTGGTGTTCGACTTTGACCTTTATACTCGAGGTCTTAAACTATGCATCGACCCTTGACCTTTTGTACCCAA